TCTGTTTAATGGGTGTGGGGTCCAGTGGATGGGCATTCTGAATATGCCAAAATAGAAATAATGTGATGCTGCATTTGGTGTGGTCTCTTTTTTTTGTCCTCCAAACGTTTCTCTGGGAAGCATTGACACCCAGGGCCGTTCTCAATGACCTTCTGTAGTAGGAAAGGCTCCTCTGTGCTTCCCTTTCTCACGGATTCAGGAATCTGTCTGTGGGTTACTGGGATGCTCATGGCACACAGATCACCATTTCCAGACGGAGCCCGGGCTCAGCTCTCCAGAGGGATGGAATGGAGGAAGTCCTGCAGTCCTTTATTTGTGTAGTGAACTGACTTCCTGTCGTTGCACTCTCTGTAGAAATAATCACAATTGCTTTCATTAATGGGGGTCCATTATGGACCACGCAACGTATTTAACATCTTTTCCGTCTCTCTTTGTAACAATAGTGTGATGTAGGTATTATTAACGACATTTTTCTGAGGAAACTGAGACGATGAGAGATGCAGTAATTTGCTCAGTGTCACACAACTAGGCTCTGAACTGATGTTCTTATGCAGAATTCCTCTTGCAGACCTAATCCTGCCCCAGTTTTGTTCCGAGGCAGCTTTTAGGGAGGATAGATAATTTTTGGTGCGGTAGAAGGTACACTTGACTGGGAATCTGGTATGCTGGGTTCTAATCCCAAATCTCTGACCAGCTGGGGCCTTGGTTTTCTCACCTCTGAAGGGGAGGTGGAGCTCGATCTTCCATAAATCATGCCTGGTGCTAACATTGAGTGAGTTTTATGCTTGTGGGTGAAAGTGAGCGTGTGTGTCTGTTCAGCTCCTTCTGTGCGGAGCCTGCTGAGCTCAGCAGCTGTTCTGTGGCTGCCCTCGCACCAGACTCTTTCAGGCACAAGTTTCAAGTTATGGAATGAACCGCGGTAGGTTAGATGGAACTCTATCTGACGCTGTTTAGAAACAAATCATGTGGAAGTCAGAAAGTTTCACTTCCCTGGACACAGTCTGTGTCCGTGTTCCTGTCTTTGGAATTCCAGCAACAGAGAAGAGAAGATGCATCTAGAGAATTTGCTGCTTCTCTGGGTTCTAAAATCCAACCCAGTGTAATTGTTTGAGAATAAAGGACAGCACTGTTAGTCTGCATATATCATCAGTCCGTGAACTCTGGTAGGAAGTGAGGCCTGGGGTGTACCCATTATAATAAGATAGTTTTTTTGTACTGCTTTGTATAAATCTACCTGTAGTCAAGATCACCTAGTAAGCTGGTAAAAAATAAAATGCTCAGGTTGAGTCACATTGAGCCCAGAAATCTGTTTGGGTGTTTTTTTTAGTAGCTTTATTGAGGTATAATTCATATGGCATGCAATTCACCCAATGAAAGTGTACAATTCAATGGCTTTTAGTGTATTCACAGATTTGTGCAACCATCACCACAATCACTGTCAGAACGTTTTCATCACCCCAAAAGAAGCTTTGTGCATCTCAGCCGTCATCCCCTATTCCCTCTCAACTCCCTATTTCAAACCTTAGTCAACTACTAATCTACTTTCTGTCTATAGGTTTCCCTATTCTGGACTTTCATATGAATGAAATCATGCAATATATAGCCCTCTGTGACTGACTTGTTTCACTTAGAGCAATGTTTTCAAGGTTCATCCATGTTGCAGCATCTATCAATACTTCATTTCTTTTTATTGCTGGAGAATATTCCCTTGTTTATCCATTCATCAGATTTGTTTCCACTTTTTGGCTGTTAGGAATAATGTTGCTATGAACATTTGTGTGCAAGTTTTTCTGTAGACATACGTTTTCATTTTAGTATGTATCTGGGAGTGGAATTTCTGGGTCAGATGGTAACTATGTTTAGCCCTTTGAGGAACTTCCAGACTGTTTTCCAGAGTGGCTGCACCATTTTCCACTCCCACCAGCAGTGTAAGAGGGTTCCAGTTTCTCCACATCTTTGCCAATACTTATTATCTTCTTCTAGCCATCCTTGTGGGTGAAGTGGTAGCTCATTGTGGTGTTAGTTTTGCATTTACCTGATGACTAATGATGAGTAGCTTTTCATGTGGTTCTTGGCCATTTTCACATCTTTGGTGAAATAGCTATTCATTTTTAATTGTGTTGTCCTTTTCTTATTGAGTTGTAATAGTTCTTTCTATGTTCTGGATACAAATCTCTTATTAGAAATTTGAATTTGCAGAAATTTTCTCCCATTCTGTGGGTTGTCTTTCACTTTCTTGATGGTGTCCTTTGAGGCATAAATATTTTTAATTTTGATGATGTCTAATTTACCTATTTTTTCTCTTTTTGCTTGTGCTTTTACTCTCATAGGTAAGAAACCATTGCTTAATTCAAGGTCATGAAGATTTATGCCTGTATTTTCTTCTAAGAGTTTGATAGTTTTGGTTCCTACGTGTAGGTCTCTGATCACTTGGATTGAATGTTTGCATATGGTGTGAGGTAGAGTGCCAACATCATTCTTTTGCATGTGGATATTTAGCTGTTCCAGCACCATTTGTTGAAAAGACTTTTCTTTCCCCATTGAGTTGTCTTGGCACCCTTGGCAGAAATCAATTGACAACGGAGGTGAGAGTTTATTTTTGAACTCTCAATTCTGTTCCATTGATCTATACGTCTATCCTTATGCCAGTTACTAGATTGTCTTGATTACTGTACCTTTGTACTAAGTTTTGAAATTTGGAAGTCCTCCAACTTTGTTCTTTTCCAAAATTCTTTTGGCTAATCTGGGCCTCTTGAATTTCCATCTGAATTTTAGAATCAGCTTGTCAATTTCTACAAAAAGGCAGCTGGAATTTTTATAGGGATTTCATTGAATCTGTGTATCAATTTAGGGAGTATTGCCAACTTAACAGTATTAAATCTTCTAATCCGTGAATATTGGGATGTCTTTTCATTTATTTAGCTCTTTAATTTCTTTCAACCATGTTTTGTAGTTTTCATGTACAGGTCTTATACCTATTTGGCTAAACTTCTTCCTAAGTATTTTATTCTTTTTGATGCTATGGTAAATTGAACTGTTTGCTCAGTTTCATTTTCAGACTGTTCATTGTGAGTGCCCAGAAATACAATTGATTTTCATGTATTGATCTTGTATCCCACAACTTTACTGAACTTGTTACTTCTAATAGTTTGTAGTAGATGATTTTTTATGTATTTACAAGCCACCCTTGAAAGTATTGTTTAGCTTTTGGTAATGAGGCTAATTAATACTTCAGTCCTTCCCATGTGTCCTGAAAGAGACTTTTAAATGTATTCAAATGGATTCTCCTTCTCTTGTTGGAATTGACCTTGTTTATTGTGCTGAATTTGGAATAGAATCCAGTCAGTAAACTCTTAAATAGCTGTCCTGAGAACATTTTAACTTTTTCAAAAGTGAGTTTAATATTTTCAAAAGTATGAGCCTGATAGGTGGGAGAAAAATGCTTTTTAATGTTTTCATTGTCAGTTGTCTTTGCTGGAAAGTAAAGAAATGTAAAATAAAACAGGTAAACGGAGCCACCCATCCATCTAAAAGAGCAAAAATAAACATAATAAAATTCAACATTGGCAGGATTACAAAGAGATAGTCATGTCCATATATTGCTAATGACACGGTGGGTTAGCTCAATCATTTCTACAGTAAGAACCATAAAAATGAGCCTATTCACCTAGCTCTAGTCCAAGGATATGACTTAAAAACTATTTGTATGAATTCCTTTTAGCTGTGATGTAAGATAGTTATTAAAAAAAAAAAAAGAAAGCTGAAGCCCAAAGTCCAACAATTGGGAGCTAGTGAAGCAAATTGTTGTATTAATATAATGATGAACCATATATTACAACTAAACTTCATTAGTATAAGAACTGTGTAGATTCAAAGAAGAGTAGATATGAAATAAGTGGAAAAACCTTAAAATAATGGGAATATTAATAGTTGAAAATGGTTTACATAAGGGAAAAGAAGAAAATTTATCAAATTATACCAGTAGTGGATATTTCAATGCAATTTTGGTTGAATGTACACTTGAAGAAATATATATATATTTTTTGCCACCAATCATGCAGACTTTTTTTACTTAGTACTTCACCCTTTTAGGTCTAAATTTCTTATTGAGATTTTGGCTTTGCATTGATAGGCCATAAGTTAAGTTCGTTGTCAGGGCTAGCCCCACGGCTGAGTGGTTAAGTTTGGGTGCTCTGCTTCAGTGGCCCAGGGTTCACTGGTTTGCATCCTGGGCACAGACCTATACACTGCTTATTAAGCCGCGCTGTGGCAGCATCCCACATAGAAGAACTAGAATGACTTACAGCTAGGATATACAACTGTGTACTGGGGCTTTGGAGAGAAAAAAAAAAGAGAGAGAAAGAGGAAGATTGGCAACAGATGTTAACTCAGGGCCAATCTTCCTCACCCAAAGAAAAAGACGTACTTTAAGAAAAAAAAAAAGAAAGAAAGAAGATTCTAAAAAAATTAAGTGCATTGTCCTCAAGAACCTGAAGGACAAGCTTGTCGTGAACTCTCACATATTACACCCCTCTTTCCGACACTTCGCAGGTTCTGTGAAAATCTCCCACAGGGCAGGAATTGGCAATTGCAGCAGTAGACGTGGAAACCAGGTTTCATCAAGGGAGCCCAGGGGCGGGGTGACCATGGAGGCCTGCGCTCAGTGGGGACAGCTAGAGAGCAAGAGGAGGCGGCCTCGGTTGCCAGAAAGAACCACAGAAGGAGCTCCAGGGAGTGACCCACCCTCTCCTGCGCTAGAGTCCCTGCTTTGCAGCTCTGAGAAAGGGCTGCCGCTTGGACTTTTCCAGGGAGGGAAACACGCTGTTCCCGGGAGCAATATGTTCCATCTCGACCACTCCCTTTGATGGAGGGTTCTTCCTTAAGTCTAGCCGAAGACCTGCCTCCCTTTCCTTTCCACCTACTGATCCTATTTCTGACTAATCTGAGGCCTCATAGAACGAGTCTCATCCATAGGCAGCTTTTAAAGACAGTTTTCATACCTCCGCAGTTGCCGGTTCTCCTGGTTGAACCTCTGTGCTTCCGACCGTGCCTCATTTAGTTGGTTTCCATCCCCTCCCCGGCCTGGTGCTGTCCTCTCGCTAGACCACAGTTGGTCATTATTCCCTTTATCGTGTGCCGCCTGAAACAGAAAGCTGCATGGCAAGAACAGCGCTACCATCTTTGTGGGGTTCTGTCTCATCCTAGCAACCTGGAATTGCATTAGCTCATTTGGCATCTATTATTATATCATGAACTTCTGTTCAGCTTCTCATCAACTCGAACCCGTAAGTGGAGTTGTTTTCTTCCTTTTCAACGTGCGTGCAGTTGCCAAGCCACATCTTCCACATCCTGCGGTGGTTTTTAGACTTTAGATCTATAGATTCCAGCTTCTTTTTGAGCAGTTTTCTTAGCAATAATCTGCTATGGGTTAACTTCAGTTTTTAGACACAATGTAAAGAAGGTTTGAAATAAATTGAGCGTCTGTACCAAGTAAGCAACAGAGTGGTTTCTCGGCTGATGGGGAGGGATCCGGGAAGTTGTCAGTCCCTGCATTCTGTCCCTTCTCCCTCAGTGATATGCAGGATTCACTTGGAACGCTCTGTTCTTCAGATGCTTTTGATATGTTGGAAAAGACTAGAAATTAGCCGTTGTCTCATAAGGAAGTACGTGAGTTGATTCCTGGAATATTCGAGCTAGACAGCTGCTGAGAGATATTTTAGTTCACCCCCGCCCTTTTGCACATTGGGAACTCAGACCCTAGACAAACAGAGAGAATTGTTGCAGGTTGCTAAGCAAACTGGTGCTGGAGGCCACTGTAGAACCCAGGCCGTCTGACACACATAGAAACTAACTTATTAACTTTTGCCCGAATAGCAGCTTTCAACTGCTCATATTAAGAAACATCATAAATTTTTTTTCCTGGCCCTTTTAGGAGTTTATCTGCCCCAGAACTAGATGACTTCCTTGAATTCCTCCCGCATGGGAGTCAATGACACCTTCTTAGACATTCAGTGAAGTCGCCCTGGTGTTGAAACTAGACAGGAGCCTCTCTGGGACTTCAAGCCCTTTGTTGGCTTTCTGCCAAGCACTTTCCTTGTGAGGTTGCGTAAGGTGCTTCATTCTTTACAGTTGGCAGGAGAAAATGAGGTCATCCCTGGATCACTCGGGTGCCAGGGTAGGGCCAGTTTCCAAAGAATCTGCCGGGACGGGAGCTGTGGGAGCACTTGGCACAGGGCTCTCCTCTGGCAGCCAGTGTTGGGTGTCGGGCGGGGTGGCGCGTTGTGATGGCTGTCGGAGGGTCCTGTCTCCTCACCAAGGATCTGAGATAGCACATCAGACTCAGGATGGGCGTCCAGCCACGTGCTGGGGGACAGCCCCTGATAGGCAGGCAGCGGGGCCAGTCTGCCAAGTGTCTGCAGGATTTTTATTTGTAATTTTTAATGTGCATGTACCTTTTTTCCCTCACTTGATTGTGGATTCCTGAAGGACAGGAAGTTGACTCGTTTTCATTATAATATTCCCTCACTGCAATTAGCAGTGGGTTCAGTAGACGTTTCTAGACGCAGGCAGGGCATCAGGGTCCGTGTTTCCTGCTTTGCTGTTGCCTGGCTGCAGCAGAGCAACTCCCTTCATCTTTGGGGGTTGATCTTCATCTGTAAAGTGAGCAGCTTGGAGTGACCTCCGAAGGCTGTTAGCAACGGTCTCTAGGATTCTGGGAGCTTCAGGACTCCCCAAATGTATCTTTATCTGTGCAGATCCTTGTATGTCTTAGAGAAGTCATTGTTCTCCTCTTTTCTGTAGTTGCATTACTGAGAAAGTCCACCCAGGGGATACCACCCTCACCTTCCTTCCCCAGCAAACAACAGGAAGGGTTTCTTCTTTCGCCATCTTTTTAAAAATTGGCAAATTTGTAAAAATAAAAAAGAAGAGTTGTGAAGGGGAGACGTTGAGTCAAGGGCCAGTGGTGGGCACCTCCCATGCACCTGGTCTTCCTCTCAGCTGCTTTCAGATGCCATTTCTCAGTATGCAGGCTGGGTTGCAAGAAAAGAGTCCTAGGTCAGCGGATGAGAGTCACTTATGACCTCCATAGAGGAGAGGCCAGAGGTCAAGGCAGAGGGAAGGAGAAAGCCTTTGTGGCTCTGGGAACTGGTGGGCAGCTGGAACAGAATTGGATGATCCAGAGGGGGTTTCTTGGATGCAACAAGATTCTTTCTCCAGTGAGTGCAGAGGAAAAATCGGATACAGTAGGCACATTCCGATTCCTGTCCTCTGAGGGCTTGCTCTTGAGGAAGATGGACACGGATACAATTTAACTATTTTTCAAGGTCCAAGAAATTAGCTCAGAGGCCCAAGGAACAGGGAAGGCTTCCTGGAAGCGCCTGTCTGTCTCTTCCCCCACCCCCTCGAGCGGTGCCTCGCCTCTACGCTGTCCAGGTCTACCGTGGCAAATTTAGAAGTATGGGAAGGCTGGGAGGCAGAAGCTGACTGAGCTCAGCCCGCCCATGTGTACTTTGCACCTTTTTGATTTCTCTTTGTACCAGACACTCTGGTTGTCCTTAATCCAGAGTGCAGCTGTCACTGAGCTACTGTGACAATGGCTGCTTCTGCCCCAGAGCCCACCCCAGGCTTGGAGCTAAAGGCCCCGGCCCCTGGAGGTCTTAGTGCTGGCCCTGTCCCCGCAGCTACCATGTCTACGCAGAGACTGCGGAACGAGGACTACCACGACTACAGCTCCACCGATGTGAGCCCGGACGAGAGCCCCTCTGAAGGCCTCAACAACTTCTCTTCCTCCGGCTCCTACCAGCGGTTTGGGGAAAGCAACAGCACAACGTAAGTAGCTGTTTCTTCTCCCCTCCTGGGCGGGATTCGTGTCCCTAAGTATTAGTAGCATAGTCTCCCTTAGAGTTATTTTTGCTCCCCCATTTTATCCATTCCTCACTTCACAGATGAAAATAGGATATAAAGAGATTGGGTGAGTAACAGTGCTAAGATTTGAGCTCCTTGCCTGCTACTCTCTGGTCTGTTTCTTATTCTTGGTTCCTTTCAGCTGGGTTGGTCCTGGAAGCTGGTGCTGAGGAAGAGCCTAAACATAAGAAAAACTTCCAGAGAGAACATTCTCTTAATTTAGAACTGAGAGTCCTTTGTGCTAGAACCTCAAATACCTCCAAGCTCCATTGGAAGCCTCCTTTGCAAAAGTCTTCTGCAAACAGCCAGTTCATTTGGCTGAAGAAATGGGAAGAAGGAGGAATAACTTCTCCCGCACTTAAAAAAATTCGAGAGGTTGATAGAGAAGACAAGACGGGCTTTGCATTAAGACTTTGCTGAAGTCTTATCCCTGGAAACTGAATCCCAAGACTCAGCTGGGCTGAGTTTGGCCCTTTCTGGGCCTCTGTTTCCCCAAATGTAAGGTAAAATTGAAGACCCCACTCTGAAGCTATGCTGGTTGTCTGGTGTTCACCACTCAAATTAGAAAATTCCGAGGAGGGTTTTCTACTCCACTGAGTTCTCCGACTCACTCCCCAATCCCAGCATCCCATCTTTTGCAGCCCTTCTGTTTATTCAAGCTTAGCTGAGACCCTTGTTGTGTTCCCTTGTGGTTTGGGTGTGACTGAGGGATCCTGTATGTCCTAGACTTACACTGTCCCCTATGACTCCCAAAGGGACCATAGACGCTTCTCTTGGAGCTCATTACTGGTGAAGCTCCCTCTGGCTGCAGTCTCTCCTGGTGCGGGGCGTTTTCCCTCTTTCCCTGACCTTCTCCACCCAATTGGTTCCCCCCAACCCCCTCGGCAGAAGGCGCCCCAGATGCAGCCAATGACACGTGATAGCTTCCCCTCAGAAGTCACACTTGTTATTTTGAAATACTTCTTCCAAGCTTCTCTCTCTATAGTTTCCTTTCCAGTTTTTGCTTTCTTGTTCTCAGGCATCAACTTCTCTGCGCACTGCCTTGCCATAGAGGGGTGTAGATTTTCCTTTTGAAGGTGACCTCTCCAAAGTTCAAAACCAACCAGCTAGCAACTTCAGGACAGTAACTCATAGGTTTTGTGTGCATTGAAGCTAATGCATGCCTGTTAGTTATTCTGAATATCTCTTTTTTCACATTGGGTTATAACTAGCAGTCAACCCCAAATAACCCCTTTTTTGTTGGAAATTGAGCAGATCAGAAGATACCTTCCTCGGGCTTGTACTGGGACATCTTCCAGGGTGTAATTTTTCTAAGGGCCCATCCTGCCCTGATACTGTGAGGCAAGGTGGATGACCAGGAGCTCATCTGTAAGTGACGGCAAGTATCACAGTCCCGTCACAAGTGATACAGGGAAAAGGATGCCCTTGGGACTCAGAGGATTGGTTGAGTACGCCCGGGGGCCTGGATCCACGTGAACAGTTATGTATAGAAAACATGCCAGGTATGATTGAGGTCTAGGCTGATTTGGGGACCTTGTTAGCCCACATGAATCTTTAGTAGGTGAGAAGTGTTAGGGATGAGTTTTTGAGCTGAATTCCTTGTCTATTTGTGCCCTGTCCCACCCTGTTATGTAGTTTGCAAAGGAACAAAGTACACAGAGGTATCTCTCAGCCTTCTGCGCAATATGCGTGCACACATCCGGCTCTTCTAGGGGTCAAAGGCTCAGTAGAACCCTTAATCAGAGGTGCAGCTAGGAACCCCCAAGACTTCCATGGTGATGTGCTTGGTGAGGTTACCTCCTAACACTTGATGTGGTCAGGCTCTTGACTGTTTTGGTGACGGCCTCATTTTGCCCTCTTGGGCAATTTTTTCTCCTCATTGCCCTGTTGAGTTACTTCTTCCCCAGGCTAGCAGACTGAGGAACCAGTTGACTGAAACTGACTTTCTCTAGGTTTTCTGGAGCCGCTGTCTGCAAAATGTGGTCTTCATAACCCTTTGGGGTTCCCAAGACCGTTTCGAGAAGTCTGAGAGGTCAAAACTATGTTCCTAATAATACTAAGATATTGTTTGCCTTTTCACTTGGTTGACATCTGCACTGATGGTACAGAAGCAATGGCCGGTAAAACCGCTGGCACCTTAGCATGAATCAAGGCACTGGCAGCACATTATGCCATGTGTCATGTATTTTTTGCTGCCACGTGTGTGCAAAGAATAAGCTAGTTTCACTGAAGCATGTCCTTGATGAAGCAGTCAAATTACTAATTTTATTAAACCATGACCCTTCACTACAGGTCTTTTAATATTCTGTGTGACAAAATGGTGAATATGCATGAGGCACTTGTACTGCATGTTAAAGTGGGGTACTTGTCTCAAGGGAAAGGCCTGGAGTGATTGAGCTGCGAACTGAACTAATTGCTTTTTTTGTTTTCATAGAACACTTTTTTTTGCTAGAAGGAACCAACAAATTATAGGTTATTTAGACCTGAGTACTTGGCAGACATTTTCTTAAAAGTGAAGGAAATGGGACCATCACCTCAAGAAAAACAGTCAGCAGTGTTTGTTGCCCACAATAAAATTTGAGCTTTCAAGCAAAATTAGAAAAAACTTGTATCCAGCACTGTGACCTTGACAGCTTCCCTCTACTTAAAGACTTTGCTAATGAGATCAGCAATGATATTAATAAATGTGATTTTTTTTAATATTGTGTAATGAAATTTGCCAGAATTTGGAAGATCTGTATAACTCAGGGAACCAATATCTTCCAAATGACCAAAGCATGATGTTAGGAAATTGTACCTGGATAAACGATCTGTTCAAAGATTCAGTGGGTTTTAATGTAATAGAGGATGAAAAAAATTCAGATTCCACCTTTTAATTAACTTCTAAGAAACTACCACATGTTGAGTTTTGGTGTAGTATCAAAGAAAAATTACCGCAGTTGTCCAAAGAAGCAGTTAAAATACTCCATTTCCAACGACGTGTCTTTGTGAGGACAGGTTTTTTATATACTTCAACCAAAACAACATGTCACAACAGATTGATTGCAGAAGTAGATAATCCAGCTGGCTTCTATTAAGCAAGACATTAAAGAGATTTGCAAAAAAAGTAAAATAGTGCCATTCTTCTCACATTTTATTTTTTGGAAAATAGAGTTACTTTTTAATAAAAACCTTTTATATTAACGTGAAATAGGTTTATTGTTATTTTAAATGAATTAATAAATATTTTTAAAATGTCTCAGTTTTAATTTGTAATATAGTATATATCAGCAGACAGAGTCCACATAAGCAAGAGCTGTTTGGGATCCTCAGTGAGTTATAAGTGTCTAAAGGGGTCCTGAGATGAAAATGTCTAAGACGTACTGATCTGGAGCATGAACAGAACTACAGAGATTTGCAAGGCTTATTTCTCCCTCCCTCCCCATAGTTAAGACTTTGCAGCCCATGAGCTGATTTGGTGATAACTGAGATGGTTTTGGGTAATCCCAGCTTGGGGCCATTGATTAAAAAGAGTAATTTTGCTCAATTGCCTAGAATCCTGGTGTTTCACAGCTGAAGAGACTTTGGAAAGTGTGTTGTCCTAGTCCAGTGCCCTCGCTCTACAGACGAGATGATACGACAGGCCCAGAGAAGGAAAGGGAGTTGTCACATGAGTTAGTAGCTGAGCCGAGGCTGGAGGGACCTGATTGCCCACGAAACCCAGCTCAGAGGCGTTTGGAGGAGGCCTCCGTAGGCAGGTGGGTTTGATACAATGCTTACCTTTGCCCTTAAGAGGATTAAACATTTGCCAGGATAGAATTTGCTTGGCCCATCATCCTGCCCATAATCTCCTGGTCGTTGGCTGCCGATAGTGAAGGAGTCACCCCTGGTCCCTTGCGGTCCTTAAGCTGTTGTTCAGGGTAGTCCAGGAGAGCACTCAGCCTCTTCTCCGTTAGACTCCAAGCAGTTTCTTTGATCTTTCCTGAAGAGCTTGGTGACAGTAGGAAAGTCAGGAGGTTTTCTTCCCAGAGGTAGAAGGAGAAAAGTTACCAAAAGTAAAATTCCTTTCTGGAGGGTGTAGATGGGTCTTAATATGGTCTTTATGAATAGCATGTATTATTTGCTTTCAGTTTCTACTGAACTGCAGATTTGAAGAAATATGTGTAAGCATCATTTAGGAGAGATTTAGGTTATTTGTTCAGAGTTTCCAGACAGTACCAGGGGCCAAATCCTGAGTGAGTCTGTGATTGGGGGAAAGTGATAGCATATTTGGCTTGTTTTGTGTCCATCCTAACAAAGGATAGAAAATGCTAGGGGTGAGGCCACTCCTCTGCTATCTGTCCTTTGATGAATTCCTCTTCCCCATGGAACGCCCACCCTCACCCCACCTGAGAGGACGCGTTCCTCCGTGTTGGTGCCCACATCTCTCTCTAGGCTCGTATTTCCGGGCCCTTCTTCGCCCTGGGCACACTTAAAAACCCCATCCTCCCGCTGGGCTCAGCCCAGGTCCGTCCACTCTGAACCCTCACCCGCCTCCCCTCCCTGAGCGCAGATCCTGGGCTCTGCTTCAGACAGTGCTCTTTCTACGTTGAGTGATTGTTAACATGTCCCGCTTGTTTTCCTTGAGACATTATGAATTGCTAGAGGCTGAGGTCCACATCCGATTCATCCCTATTTCCACCACTGCATTATCACAACATTTTACACATGACAGCTAGGATTTGCTGAGTGAGAAAATGAGTGAGGACCTGTGAGAGGCTTTACAACTGCAGCTTGAGGGGCGAATCTGTC